AACCTTAATTTATCACTTTAATATAGGCTACATTTAAATATCACAAATATTTTGTTTCTTTAATACAGCCTAGTTGGCGTTTGGCTAACGGTGGCGTAATAGTTTAAGTTGTGACAAACTTCAAATAGCCTATTTGTTTGCACTTGTAGGAAAATGAGAATAAAATATTTAGAAATATTATGACATGTTCTTCGCCTTTAGTGTCATTTAATAATAAAATGTGTTGCTTGATTTTATTTAGTTATATAGGCTACACCTTATTTTATACAGTTTTTTTTTATTATTTGAGCGATAACATAGCCACAGTATGAGGTGTTTTACCGTAAATAATTAACATAATCAATACAAGAAATTATATTTTAACAATAGTCCATCATCTGACGCACGCAGAAAGCTCTTCGTATTTTAAACACTAGATGACAGCAAAAGATTTCTGAGTATATATATATATATAAAAGGAACATAGGAACTTAGCCTAAATCGCTAAATAGACGTTCTTGAAGGCGGATTTGCTTCAGCGTCGAATGGTGCATCGACAAAATAAAACCTTAATTTATCACTTTAATATAGGCTACATTTAAATATCACAAATATTTTGTTTCTTTAATACAGCCTAGTTGGCGTTTGGCTAACGGTGGCGTAATAGTTTAAGTTGTGACAAACTTCAAATAGCCTATTTGTTTGCACTTGTAGGAAAATGAGAATAAAATATTTAGAAATATTATGACGTTCTTCGCCTTTAGTGTCATTTAATAATAAAATGTGTTGCTTGATTTTATTTAGTTATATAGGCTACACCTTATTTTATACAGTTTTTTAAAATTATTTGAGCGATAACATTTTTTACCGTTTTACCGTAAATTTTACCGTAAATAATGAACATAATCAATACAAGAAATTATATTTTAACAATAGTCCATCATTTGACGCACGCAGAAAGCTCTTCGTATTTTAAACACTAGATGTCAGCAAAAGATTTCTGAGAAAACTAAAGATTAAGCCCATTCAAAGAAGATTGAGTTATATTTTTTTGTTATTATAGGCTATTAGTGATGCCTGTGTCTCAGATCTGCTGTGCTAGAATACATGTCTGACTGTATCTTAAATTAAACTGTCTATTGTTACAGTAGATTTTGATGTATTTGAATCCCCTGTGATTAGCCTAAATGGAAATTTCATAACCCCACATTTTAACCCCGCATTTTGGGTTGCATTTTTGCCCTAAACCCAAATTTGATCTTGGACAGAGAGCATTATTTGGGCTGATAGATGAGCATTTTCAAACAAGCAAGCCACAAGAGTGCTGTTGTATTGATATCAGTTTCAGGTAATCATGATTCATGACACAACTGTTATTTGATATTCAATGTGTCCGTGTTAATGCCCTAAAATACCCTCCTTTTCTTCTTTTCTGCCCAGGTTGACACATTTCTCCGCATTAAGCTGACGTTTAAGCCCAACAGAGGATTAGCAAGTAATCAAAACTATTCATTCCAGATAAAAAAAATACATGACAATTCATCTTGGCCCAAAATAAGAGTAATCCCAAGACAACAAAAGATTAAGATGCGACATAGCAAAGTTTAAAGCCTTGGTAAATTACACGTTATCTTATTTCACTGGGGAATCAGATAATAATTACGAACGCATGATTTATTTTCATGCAAACGTAATGCTTTCCAAGAAAATCTATCTATCCCTGAAGACCCCCCACCCCCCCAAAAAGAAACAAAGATTGTGATTTAATTGCAAATTGACTACGTAAATGTCAACAGAATTCAAGTGAAAGCTTATTTTCTGTTTGCATTTGGCAGATTTTCTAAATAATGTTTTATTTTTGCACATTAGACTCGATTTATCACGTTCCTCTATCTGCTTCTGTCTTTTGCATTGGTTGAAATCACATTTCAACCTAACATTCATATAATTTATGATGTAATGTTATTGCTGGTCCCCATTCATGCACCATTACTATACTGCAAAACATTCTCTTGATTAAACAGACATTTCATTTCATACCATTGTTACATTAATGCACAATGCTGCAGGGGGATGATTTGTTCAAGACAGGCTAAAGAGGCTTACATCAGCCTTTACATGTGCAGCTGTCCTATAGAAATATCAGATGTCAGGATCACTAAATCTCTCCACTCATCTGAACGAGATTGTGAGTTGAGAATGTTGTGGGTGGTTGCTAGGGTGTTGCTATGCAGTTGCTAAGGTGTTCTTTGTGGTTGATAGGTAAAAGGTCCCACCTGCAAGTCTCTCGATCGCTACTTCAACGTAAATCTGTAGGATACACACACACACGCGCACACACACACACACACACACACACACACACACACACACACACACACACACACACACTACCGTTCTTTAACTTTGGGGTCAGTAACTCTTGTGCACCAAGGCTGCATTTACTTGTTCAGAAATATAGTAAAAACAGTAATAGTGTGAAATATTATTACAATTTATATAGAGTATATAGTAAAATATAATTTATTCCTGTGATGCAAAGCTGAATTTTCAGCATCATTACTTCAGTCTTCAGTGTCACATGATCTTTCAGAAATCATTCTAATATGCTGATTTGCTGCTCAAGAAACATTTCGGATTATTATCAATGTTGAAAACAGTTGTGCTACTTCATATTTTTATTCAGGGATCTTTGATGAATAGACAGTTCAAAAGAGCAGCATTTATTAGAAATAGAAGTTTTGTTAAACAATGTCTTTACTGTCACTTTTGATCGATTGAGTGCATCCTTACTGAATAAAAGTATTAATTTCTTTAAAAAAATCTTACTGACCCTAAACTTTTGAATGGTGCACATTCATCTCCATTAATCAAGAACCTTATATTTCTAAATGATGTAAATTGTGCTCCCGCAGATCTCAGATTAGGAGTGAGAACCTCTTATGTTCCAGGTTAGTTAGATTGATTCCTTGAGCTATAATATAATCTGCTGGATGCTGGTGTGTTACTGTGAGCATGCTTGTCATATAGGCTGAATTAGAGTAATGCTGTTATTGTCGGTGAGGTTTTAGCTAAAATGTAGGATTATGGAGAGAGATATAATCCCACAGAGGCCATTGACTGCCGTGGAGAGAACAGAAGTGATGCCTGGATTACGGTGCTAAAGCGATGAGAGAACATGCGGACAGACACACAAGGTCTCTTAGGACGAGCCATTAAGCTTTTTTATTCGCTGGTTATTGTAGGATAAAACAAGGTGGTCACAGTGTGTTTTCTGCTAATGTTATACCAAAGCTTTGTATTTGTCAAATGTGCAACAGCAGAACTCTTTGACAATATAAACAAGCTCGCTGGATGTAGTAAGTTATCCGGAAACTACGTTTTTCCCTACTTTTTTTATTAATACTTTGAATTTGACGTACTTTAAACACTGTTTTTGCCTACTGTATAGTAGGAAATGTTACGGTTTTGGATGCAGCAACACACTGCATGCTAGAACATACTTCAAAAATGGTTGATAGTTTAAGTATAGTAAAAGTGATACTAATACATCACATCGAATAAATTAAAAGTGGTAAAAAGTATAAAGCTACACAGAGGACAGTGAATTTACTCAAAGTGATTCATGCTACTCAGTGGAAACGCCCATTTAAAAGGAGTTTTGGCCAACACACACTCATTGCATTTTGCAATTTGGCAAATTAGTGACTAAATAAAATGAATTTGATTTGTATGTTTTCAAACAATCTGCTTACTCCCCACTGACATTTAGGTTTAGCGGTGGACCTTCTTGCTTACATTTTTTCCAAAAAATATGTTTTTGTACAAATGTGACCCTGGAGCACAAAAGCAGTCTTAAGTCGCTGGGGTATATTTGTAGCAATAGCCAACAATACATTGTACGGGTCAAAATTATAAATTTTTCTTTTATGCCAAAAATCATTAGGATATTAAGTAAAGATCATGTTCCATGAAGATATTTAATAAATTTCCTACCGTAAATATATCAAAACTTAATGTTTGATTAGTAATATGCATTGCTAAGGACTTCATTTGGACAACTTTAAAGGTGATTTTCTCAATATTTTGATTTTTTTTGCACCCTCAGATTCCAGATTTCAAATATTGGCCAAATATTGTCCTAACAATATTATATTGTTATTATCCTAACAAACCATACATCAATGGAAAGCTTATTTATTCAGCTTTCAGATGATTTATGAATCTCAATTTCGAAAAATTGACCCTTATGATTGGTCCAGGGTCACAAATTATATCATACAAATTCATATGTTTTCCTCATGAGATCAGGTTGGATTTTGAATTTTCAGATATGGATGAAAGACAGAAGCCCGTTCAGAAATGCACTGTGGATTGCAGTATTGTTAGCTAAAACTATTCAAAATCATTTTCTGAGATAGAAATAAAGCTAAAATACTGATATTAGATGAAAAAGTAAACTGAAAATTAGAAACTTAAATAATAATAAAAAATGAATTAAAGCTAGAAATATTTTTTAAAAGTCTGCTAATGTTTTTAGCAAAGCTTTGTATTTGTCAAATAAAATAGTCAAGATTGTCATTGAAATAATATTGTTAATTTGTTTGTTTGGATGATTTATTTACAGATTTTTGAGTGGTGAAAACAGAAGATTAAACTATAGATTGCATTGTTGTTATTGCTAACTGAAATGAAAAACTATTTTTTAATAATAGAAATACTGCCTTGGCAACTAACTGAAATAAGTTTATAATTAAAAGCTAAATAGAAATAGAACCTAACAAAATTACTGAAATGTAAACTAAAATCGAAATCAAATCTGAAAATATGAAATCTTAGTAAATACTGTAGTAGCATGCTAAAATGACATTTCTGAAGTCTGAAGAAACACTCCTGGTGATTCCTTGAGCTCAGAGAAGCTTGAATCACTGCGGCTGTACATGTTCAAACCCTCATTCACTCTCTCTCTGAATCTCTCTCTGACCCTCACATCCATTACATCAGTGATGAAAGACGGAACGCACTGTAATCTGACACATGCTCTCATTTCAACTCATCTTTCGTCTTGTTTCAATTAGTCTCATGTGTTTTCTCTTCTTCTAGCCATGTCCAAAGAGGACAGAATGTGAGGGGTGTGTCATGTGACAAGTAGGTCGCAGTGTGTCCATCTGTTGCTGTTACTGATAGTGTTTAACTAAACTCTCTCTTACTCTGAGCAGAGACAGACTGAGAGGAAGTGATGTGGGAAACAGAAGACCGAGACCATGACTGAGTCTGCGCTCAGGTTTGGTTTGTTGAAGAGCTGTTTTTCAGTGTTTGTTGCTGTATCTTCCGTTTGGTGATGGAGCCTCAACGGCAGATCTACAAAAGACTGGACATCCCGGATCATGTGCATTACATCACCGCCTTCCTCATCCTCATCATCGGCACTTTAGGAGTCACGGGCAATGCTTTGGTCATGTTTGCCTTCTACAGGTATGAATGCTTAGTTGTTTGTTGAGATGAAGAACTTGAACCAATCTCTTAGCTCATGTGGGGAAGTTTGGTGTTTTATTAGGTAGCACTGTATGATGCAGTTAATTAATTATCAAACTCGATTCGAATATGTTATTGACATTAATTGTTTTAGTAAATTGGGGCAGTGCGGTAAAACTAGAGCAGGCAGTGAAATACTAGTAAAAAGCTTCTCTTTTCTTTTTTACTACACCCGTTTGCTCAGATTTAGGTTACTCACGCAAAACACCCTGCAGGTCACCGGACAGCCCTAATCCTCATTTTCCATAATTGTTTTTTCCTTTGCATTCAAAATAGGTCATTTTTAGGGCAGGGAATTTGGGAATATTGTGAACGAGGTATAAATAACAAGATTGATTCATTTCCATAAATGGGTGTAATTATTGAAATCATGGGCTTCTGTAGAGTGGAAGGAATTGACTGCTATTCCAGGAATCCCTAGAGCTGCAGTACATCGATGGAAAGAACTGCAATGGAGGCATTTGATCTGTTGGATGTCAGCTTTGACAAAGAACTCTCATTTGCATCCCATCTTCTTTTTATGCATTTACAATGAAAGGTTTTGTCGGCAAAGATTAGTAGGGATATAATCGTTCTGTGTGTGTAATAAAATCTGTTTATAATATTACATATTTGCATTTAAATGCAGTTAAAAGGATAGTTATGAAATATTTCTGCCATCAGAAAAAAATGGTAATTGCAACATTGTGTCTCACAATTCTGATTTTTTTATCTCGCAATTTAACTTTTTTAAATACAAATTCTGAATTGTGAGATGAAAAGTCGGAATTGCCTTTTTATTTTTTTATTCTGTGGTGCAAACAAAAAGACAGATTTGTGAGATACTATAAAAACTCTGAGAAAAAAGTCAGAATTGTGAGATGTAATCTCACAATTACGAGTTATAACTTGCAGTTGAGAGATATAAACTCACAATTCAGAGAAAAAAAGTCAGATTTGTGAGATATAAAAGAGTCTAGAAAAAGAGTCTTGTGAGATGAAAAGTCGCAATTACTTTTTTTATTTTTTATTTCCTGGCGAAAAAACTAAATTGTGAGATGTCAACTCAGAATTCAGTGAAAAAAAGTCAAAATTGCGAGACAAACTCAAGAATTTGTGGAAAAAGGTCAGAATTGTGAGACATAAACTCACAATTCTGAGAAAAAATATCTGAATTTTATTCAGTGGTGGAAACAAGCTTTAATCAAAGTTAATCAAAAAAATTACATTTAAAAGAGGATAACTTAAAGGTCCCCTGAAGTGCCTTGAAACAGGCAGCATTATTCTATGTGGTGACGTAATTTCAACTGAAACAGGAAGAGAGGGCGGGACATATCAAGCAGCCCCGCCCCCTTTTTAAAATAGCCAATAGCGTTTAGTTTATATCTGCTTGGGCCAGAGCCGTTGAGCTCGGTAAAGCCGCATTTGACAGCCACAGTCTAATAGATTACCCCCTAGATTCAATATGAAACTCTTAGTAAAACAAAATAGTGGTCATAATCATGCTGAGGCTGTGTAGTTGTAAAAGTTTTTAATATATGCCGACTCGCGCATATGATCCGCTCCGTGCGATCGCGTCTCTGGACCGGAGCCAAAGTCTGGATCAGACTGTGTGCGCTGCCGTGGTTCACGTGAAACCAGACCTCATTTGCACCAATCAAAAGCATATTTACACTGTCTGAATCGTTCCCTATCACCTACATTGTGCACTTCGAGCCATTCACCGTACAGGAAATATTACACTGTGAACAAGTGACCGATCTCAGCTGCAGCTTCAGCGTCTGTTTGTAGTGCAGGGGGCGGGCGCTTTGGATTCTAGAGAGCATTTGATTGGGTCACTGTTTTGGAGCACACTGCCTTATAGATAACCTTATGACTAACATATTGATACTAACACCCAAAAAACTTTAATTTTGATTTCATGGGGACTTTAAAGATATTTTTACTGGTAAACAAACAGTTTCAGTTCACAATGACTCCCATTGTACTTTTTGTCCATATAACAGGAGTCAATGGTAACCTAAACTGTTTGGTTAGCTAGCAACAAAAATATCTTCAAAATATCTTTTGTGTTTTGCAGAAAAAAAGCAAGTCACATAAGTAGAAGCAACACCTGAAATTCATTGTTCATAAACTGTGTTCTTTCTGTTTGAACAATGGAATAAATGGAATAAATATAACTTGATCTTAATACTTTTTGTACAGTAATAAAAAGTTGCGGAGCCTGCCAAATTATTCCATAGTGAACCTGGCGGTCAGTGATTTCCTCATGGCCATCACACAATCTCCAATGTTCTTCATCAACTGCCTGTTTAAGGAGTGGATGTTTGAGGAGCTGGGTAACAAGTTCTTTTTACAGACATTTTTAAGATTTTGAAAAATGTAGAACAAACAAAACTCACATAAAATGAATAAAAAAAAACAGACTTTTATTATTATTCTATCAAGAATTTAACTCAAATGAATATCTTGTCTCTATATCTATTCTCTATATATTTGCTTTGTGTCTTCAGGATGTAAAATATATGCATTCTGTGGTGCGCTGTTTGGCATCACCTCGATGATAAACCTGTTGGTCATCTCTATCGATCGATACCTGGTCATCACCAAACCGCTGCAGACCATCCAGTGGAACTCCAAACACAGAACTTCTCTGGCCATCCTGTGCATCTGGATCTACTCGCTGGCCTGGAGTCTGGCACCTCTGATTGGCTGGAGTGAGATTTCAAATATTTGAATATGATGAAGTAGGCCTAGGTGTCATTTTCAGGTTATAATAAAGAAAATAAAGATATGCCAGCTTTTGTGCATAGTAATGAGATAACCCACCAGATAAGCACAAAAACTTATCACAGCACTTTCCCAAACATCCTTGTTTGACTATGCACATGGAAATCTAGCTGATCATGGTCAGCAATGCAAAGTTGATTCTCTGCTAAACTGATCTAATTTTTGTTTAAACAATATCATATTTATTGTTGCTATTATTATGGGATCTCCTTCAATGCTTTCATAATCTTTTAAAAAATATAGAATTTTTTTTTATTTTTTACAAAAATGTTGAAATATTTTTTTCTGTATTTTTAAAATAAACTGACAGTATATTTATTAAACAAAAATATATTATTTTATTTATCAATAATTAGAAAATAGTAGAAACTTTGCTGAAGGGATTATTAAAATATATATTAAAAAAAAATTTAAACAAAAATGTTGAAATATTTTTTTCTGTATTTTTAAAATAAACGGACAGTATATTTATTAATCAAAAATATATTCTTTTATTTATCAATAATTAGAAAATAGTAGAAACTTTGCTGAAGTGATTATTTTTATTAACTTTATTTTATGCAGATATTATGGAAGACACTTAAGCTAAAGTATTTTTATTAATACTGGTGATTGTGGAAGCTTATTTCTGCCAAGGAATAAAAAATAAAAAAAAAGCTAAATGCGACTCTTTATCTTAAAATTACTTTTTTCCTCTCTCAATAGTGAGCGCTGATCTCACAATTCAGATTTTTTTTCTCAGATATCTCGCAATTGCGAATTATTAATTGCTAGATGTAATTACTCACTCTCAAGCTGTTCCAAACCTGTATGAGTTTCTTTGTTGAACTTACAAGATATATGAAAAATATGGGTAACCAAACAGTTGCTTCGTCCCCATAGACTAACAGGGCCAGCAACTGTTTGGTTACCAGCATTCTTCACAATACCTTCTTTTGTGTTCAACAGAAGAAAGTAACTCATACAGGTCTGGAGCAACTTGAGTAAATAATGACAGCATTTTCATTTTTTTGGTGAACTATCCGTTTCAGATGTGACTTTAGCTTGAAATGTCCGATGTGTCTTTTAATGCTCCTGCAGGTTCCTACATCCCTGAAGGTCTGATGACATCCTGCACGTGGGACTACGTCTCGCCGTCTCCCACCTACAAGAGTTACACCATGATGCTGTGCTGTTTCGTCTTCTTCATCCCTCTGGCCATCATCCTCTACTGTTACCTGGTCATGTTCCTCTCCGTACGAAAGGCCAGCAGGTCTGAGCTCCTTGAGGCGTCTTCAAATTGAAGAGTTTTCACTGAAAAGCGTTTATGACTGCATGAATGTATGTGTGTGTGTGTGTTTAGAGATCTAGAGTGGCTGAGCTCTCAGAAGTCCAGCTTTGTGAAGCAGCAGTCCATGAGGAGTGAATGGAAACTGGCTAAAATAGCGGCTGTGGTCATAGTGGTGTATGTGCTGTCCTGGGCTCCCTACGCGTGCGTCACCCTCATCGCCTGGGCAGGGTGAGTGCTGCTTCATATTCAAGTGATCTTTATATATATTTCGGAAGCATCACTAAATCTATTGCTCATACATGGGATTATTCCTAACCCTTAGAATGTAGTTTGTGCTGCATGCATGAATGACACTCTACCATTCAAAAGTTTGGTCAGAACGTTTAAAAAAATAAAAGAAATGAATGCTTTTATTCAGCAGGGATGCATTAAATTGATCGAAAGTAACATTCTACAAAGGATTTCTGTTCAAAACAAATGCTGTTGTTTTGAACTTTCTGTTCATCAAAGAGTCACAAGAAGAAAATGCATCACAGTTTCCTCCAAAATATTAAGCAGCACAGCTGTTGTCAGTATTGAGAAATGTATTTCATGAGACCTATTACCACAACTTAAATGCAGGATTGCAAATAATTAAACCTTTTAAATTGCAAACATTATTTTGATTAGTTCTGTTGACAATAATGTTGATCATTACATCATTGTAATATTGAGAGTAATTTAAACTAAACTTTCTACGTTGATTTGTTTTAATAATGAGTGTAATTTAATACAATTTTCCACTTAATTGATTTAAATTGAAACTAAAATTTCTGCATTAATTGTTTTATTTTGATTGCATCAACTCAATATTGAGTGTAATGTAAACAGAAATGTCTGAATTCATTGATTTCTCTTTATTTTGATTACATCACAAGTTAATATTGTCCATAATTTAAACTGAAATTTCTGTGTTAATTGATTTTACTAAATTGATAAAAAAAAAGATAATAGATAAGATTATTGGATACAATTAATAGATAAGATTAATTGGTTTCAGGGCCACAACTCAGGTTATATTAGTTTTGTGTGTGTGTGTGTGTGTGTGTGTGTGTGTAATCAACAAAAAATTGTGTTTATGCTACAAATTATTCCTCTAACTCAATGTAGTTTGCTTGTTGAACATAATTTCATTACAAGTTATCACTGATGCAAACTGTTTTTGTTGAGCCAAAAAATTTGTTCTTATTTCTGGAGGATCATGTGACATTGAAGACTGGAGTAATGATGCTGAAAATTCAGCTTTGCATCATAGGAATATATTATATTTTAAAATACATTAAAATTAAAAAAACATTTATTTTACACTGCAAAAAAATTACTGTTTTTACAAATAAATGCAACCTTGTTGAGCAAAAGAAACTTCTTTCAACAACATTAAACATTCTCATGACCCCAAAATTTTAAAGAGTAGTGCACACCAAATTCCGTGACTACATGCATTATACATAAATATCAGTATTATTGTCACATGCAACCGTATGGGGTTGTAAAATTATGGCCTCATACTGATTTTACAGCCATGTGATGAGAGCCAAACAACAGCTCACTTGTGTAAGCGCTGTGTTCACTGTCCTGCTCTGTTGTTATCTGTCCTGTAGGCATGACATGGTCTTTCATCTGAGATTAAAGAGATACATTTGATGAGAAGTAACTATGAAATATAGTATTTGTCCTAAATTTGAAAGTGTACTGTTCCTAACACATCTTATTTGTTGTGCTTGCAATTTAAAATTGGGTAAAATGTGGATAATTTCAGTAATGGGGGTACAATTTCTGTATAACCAATATATGTTAAAGTACTGACTACAGTTATTGGCTATAAAAAAGTTTAAAGTTCATTTGCAGATGTTAACCATATAACAGGACACATTGTCACACTATGTGGGGTAACTTGTCACAGTGGGAACTTACTGTTCAAAGACGCTGATTTTAAGAAAAGAAATAGATATTTTTGCTCTGTGTAGTGTTGAAGATATTGTTTAATAGTTTGGAGTCACCATTTTTGTTATTAGCGAACCCTTTGGAAAACAAAATTCTAGAGGACACAAAAATATAAAACGTTGCATAAAATATTCATAAATTACATTAAAAAAAAAGCAATAATGGAATTTTTGACTGATAACCAGCTACTGAGATACAGACGCATATGAGGAAAGTCCTCAATATATGATGCATTGAATCAGTATACTAGATGCTATATATAGTTTGCTGTAATCTTTATATATCAGAAGTGTTTTAAGTGTCTGTAATCTGCAAATCCCCTGATTACTGTTTATCTGGCACTTTTCGATGTACATTTGTCTGTGTATGTAAGTGTGTTTGTGGATCTCTATAGTAGTTAAGCTCAGCACAGCTGTGAGAAGTAGGAAGTGATTATAAAACATTGTAATCTACTTTTCTCTCTTCAGCACTGCACTTGATTTTTTTGAATGACCTACATGCATTTAAAAGTAACTGTATTTTTTCCTGTGTTTCTCAGGCATGCAAGCATCCTCACACCCTACTCTAAAACACTGCCGGCGGTCATCGCCAAATCATCTGCCATCTACAACCCTTTCATATATGCCATAGTTCACACCAAATACAGGTAAATAGATATTAAAACAAGCAAAATACACAATCACGCACATTTCATGCAAAAATACATGTTTGTATGTGGACAAAATAAATACAAAGGGTTAGTAGAACATTAATGTCAAGCTGTGGCAGCAGTGCCCCAGACTTTATCTAAAACTAATTGAAACAATTTATATAATATAATATAATATAATATAATATAATATAATATAATATAATATAATATAATATAATATAATATAATATGCATTCAAAATGTTGCAAAAACATCTAAACAGTTTATTTAAATAATAATAATTAATTTTGTAATGCTTTGAAATTCGTGTATACTTATTATACATGTTGTTTTATAATCATTTGTCACACCAAAAGTCTATTTAAAGGTGCAGTAGGAGATCTTGGAAAATGCTAACTTTAGCCAAAATAGCACTGAAAGCGAATGTCCCACCCTCCCTGCAATCGCCGTCCAAAGCCACACCCCCTGAACGCATATACGCTCACAAACCAGAATACCAGAGACAACATTACAATAGGCTACATCAGTGGTTCCCAATTTCAGCCCATGTTCCGAAGTGAAGTAAACTTCAATGGATTTCCCCTGCTCAGGGAGAAGGGAGCAATGAACACTGTGTAGGGATCATATCGATCGGAACACAGTTCATGCACATTGCTCACTTCTAATGAGCTGGCGCGAGGACTGGATTATCCGCTGGGCTACATCATGTGTCATTCACCAGCGAGAAATTTTTAAAGGTACTACAATACCAGGAAACATATATTCATTTGTCTGCAGAGCCACATTGGCTGAGAAGGTCCCAGGTTTGTCCTGCCTGTCTCGCGTTCAGAAAGACTGTCTCACCTCCTCCACCAATAGCGATGCCTCAGTCCAGGACACCAGCTTCAGCAGACAGTCATCGGTCTCCAAGAACAAACTCCACACAACCACCGCCAACAACTCCAGTACTATGGTACAGTAGAAAGGTCCATCTGTACACTGTAAAAAATTATTGTGATTTTAACAGTAAACGACTGTAAAATGCTACAGTAAAAACCTGTTAACTGGTTAACAGTAAGTTTCCATACTATATTCGGTGAATAAATGTAATTACATTTAATGTGATTTCACAGTAAACTACTGTTAAAAATACGTTTTTTGGAAGTGAAAAAGAAAAAGTAATTGCATAATTTACAGTGAAAAAACGTAAATTGACACTCCCAGAATTCCCTGGAAGACCCTTCAAATTTGATGTTTTTTTGTTGAAATAACATGTTTCTTAGTTTTTCTTATCAGTTGTGCACTAGGGTTTAATCTTACATCTAATGTTGTTAAATGAATGTTTATTGCATTATTTCAGTATCATGTGTGTCACCATGATGGGGTTTAGTGTTTGTGTGAATGACACTGTGCACCTTCTATATATAAGTATTGGCCTCCTCAGCTCGTAGAAAAGCTATTTTTGATGAGCTTTGGTTCATCATGTGACTTTCTCATCACCACCAGTTTTTGGTGGTTATCAGTGCATTACAATGGTTCAAAAGAGATATTAGTACTTCAATGTGTTGGTTTATTAACATTACATCAGTTAATGAAATACGGTATTTTATTGTGAATTTAAGTCAAGTCTGTAAAACCTAAAATGTTGCTACCATATTTTTTACGGTGAAGTTCTGGCAACCACAGCTGCTGGTATTTTACCGTAAATGTCACAGTTTTTTTTTTACAGTGTAGGCTTGAGTTTCTATGACTCCGAGATGAGACTCCGTTCATATCAATGGCCTAAACTTGAAATCACATGACCTGCTGAATACCACACACCTTATCTCAGTAACACTCCTATTATCAAACACTTTAGGATGCTGAATAAGGTGCTGGTTTGTGGTGTGTGTTTATGTGTGTGTGTGAGATTGCAGGTAATGGGAGAAGTGGAACTAGACCTGATGGAGAACAGGTCCAACTTGACTAAAGTGTCATTTAGAAACTCATCGAGACAGCGGATCCTCAAATGCTCCTCGCTGCTGATAGAGAAGGTGGGGTTTAATTCACTGGCACTGAAACATTAATATTTCACTTAAAAATCTGTGGAAAATGTTCTTGCCCCCAGGCCATCCAAGATGTAGATGAGTTTGTTTCTCCATCAGATTTGGAGAAATTTTTCATAACTTGCTCACCAGTGGATCCTCTGCAGTGAATGGGTGCCGTCAGAATGAGAGTCCAAACAGCTGATAAAAACATTACAATAGTCCACAAGTAATCCACACCTAGTCTATCAACTAATGTCTTGTGAAGTAAAATGCTGCGTATTTGTAAGAAGCAAATCCTTCATAAAGGCATTTTAACTTTAAATCATCTCTTCCGGCCCAAATACGAGTCCATAATCCATAATAACGCTTCCTCCAGTGAAAAAAGTCCAGCCCATGTTGTCCTCTCACATCAAAAACCACCAATATATTTTGTTTAGAACTGTTTTGGACTGTTTTTGCATTTGATCTGTGCATATTCCACTTCTGAATCAGACGAGACGACTTTATCCCTAGATAAAGAAATATTATGGATAGAGGAATCGTTTTAGTTTTTTGGAATTTAAGAACGTCTTAATGATGGATTTGTTTATGACAAACATTGAGCTTTTTTCTTCACCAGACATTACCTGATGGACTGGAGTGGTGTGGATTACTTGTGGATTATTGTGATGTTTTTATCAGCTGTTTGGACTCTCATTCTGACGGCACCC